TCGATTGCGATCGCCGCCGCTCAAAGCACCCAACGCTTTCAAAACGTGCCTATTCACTTTCTTAGGCACATTAAAATGATCCATTATTCACACACTTTTTTTATCGCTGTTGAATTTTAAGTTCTACAATTGAATTAGCTATTTTGTTTATTATTTACAGGCCTATAACTTGGGGAAATGCACAAAAAATTTGCAACTATAACTAAAAATTAACTAACTAANGTGACGATGATTCGATTGCGATCGCCGCCGCTCAAAGCACCCAACGCTTTCAAAACGTGCCTATTCACTTTCTTAGGCACATTAAAATGATCCATTATTCACACACTTTTTTTATCGCTGTTGAATTTTAAGTTCTNTACGCATACGTTTGCGTGTTCGGTCAAATTCATCGCCAGAAAGAGATTCTTCTTCGCTGCAGGCTCGCCCACGTTTCATATTGGGATCTAATCTGCTACGACTACATCGCCGTGGATCCTAATTGGAAGCGATAACAGACGTACATACATACAGATGTATAATGAAGTATTATATTTGACAAATATGCTTACATTGCCACGAAATACACGACGGTCTGGGGTTTTAGAATTGGATTGAGCACTGGGCCCTTGCATAGCGGCAGCGGAACGTCCAAGAGCATAGCGATGCATGCCACGTCGATCAATCAAGCCAATTTCACTGAGGTTCTTCAAAGAATTCTGTACGGCCCTCTCAAGATTCGGAACTGGTACTAGGTTTCGCATTTGATACTTCACTTGATTTATTATACTTGACGTGACGATGATTCGATTGCGATCGCCGCCGCTCAAAGCACCCAACGCTTTTAAAACGTGCCTATTCACTTTCTTAGGCACATTAAAATGATCCATTATTCACACACTTTTTTTATCGCTGTTGAATTTTAAGTTCCACAATTGAATTAGCTATTTTGTTTATTATTTACAGGCCTATAACTTGGGGAAATGCACAAAAAATTTGCAACTATAACTAAAAATTAACTAACTAAATTAATTAACAAAAAATTTTGCAAAACACTAGGAATTGGTTTTTTTTTTAGCTTGGACAAATAAAATTCGAAATAAAATTTTTTGTATAATTAATATTTCAAAGCCTGCCTGAAATGACAATTCAAACTTCGATGAAATCATGATGTAATAAACAAAGTGAAATCAATATTTGATGTACGCTTATTTGAAAATTTAAATGTAAACCATTCGTACATATATTTGTTTACATTAACCCTCTTTCGGCTTTGGTTTGGAACCGAATTCTGTGATAGGGTGTTTTTCAATATGTTCAATATTTTTTTTTTCAGAACTTATGCGAGTTGCACTAGAAATTTCCTGTTTATCTTGATTTTAGCAAATAAATAAGTCATTAAATTGTATTTTTTTTGTGAATAACTATTTACTGATATTTACACATATAAATAGTGTTGACGAAGGTACAGAAACCGCACTCGGCAGTGCAGCTGGTTTGTCTCGGAAACAGTATGCCAGTACGCAGAATGTCCTCATCTCAAAATATTTCCCTATATATGTATGTAAATATGTATGTATATACACATTAAGATTAAGGACCATCTACTATTACTAAATTGGCGAAAGTATAAATTTTATGCGATACTTCACATCTGTTTGGCGCAGTGCGGTTGTTATTTTCACGATATGCCTTTGCCCTAGTGCATTTGAGAACATACCCACACTTTGATTATTACCTCTCATCTGATGAAATAACAGGTAACATCTTTGATGGNAATTGGCGAAAGTATAAATTTTATGCGATACTTCACATCTGTTTGGCGCAGTGCGGTTGTTATTTTCACGATATGCCTTTGCCCTAGTGCATTTGAGAACATACCCACACTTTGATTATTACCTCTCATCTGATGAAATAACAGGTAACATCTTTGATGGTACTGCACCAGGATCGAGGCGTCTTCTCTTGGCATTAATACTTGCATAAATGATATCATTCGATTTGAAACACAGAGCGTTCATATTCGTAAAGTGAGCTACTTGTATAATGAAAAATTCGTTTCCTAAAAATGAACCCGCTATCTTTTATGAAATCAGCTTGAAATTCATAATGCGAGGATTCTTGGCCCTCCTTTAACTGAAAATGCTCATCTATGCTCTTTAGTTTCCTTATAAGGACTTTTATTGGCTTACATGGTACATCGGTCCAGTGCTCTGCCCAATCCACAAGAAAGGCGACCCCGCCATACGCGCCAACTACCGCGGAATTAGCCTTCTAAGCATAGGTTACAAGGTCTTATCGAGCGTATTGTGCGAAAGACTGAAGCCCACCGTCAACGAGCTGATTGGACCTTATCAGTGTGGCTTTAGGCCTGGAAAATCCACCATAGATCAGGTATTCACAATACGCCAAATCTTGGAAAAGACCCGCGAGAATAGGATCGACACACACCATCTATTTGTCGATTTCAAAGCCGCTTTCGACAGCACGAAGAGAAGTTGCCTTTATGCCGCGATGTCTGAATTTGGTATCCCCGCGAAACTAATACGGCTGTGTAAAATGACGTTGAGCAANGAAGGACTTGGCTTCACTTGGCATTTTCAATTGGCGTCAGTTAGCACAGAAGAGAAATGACTGGCGTGCTGTTTTGGACTCGGCCAAAATCGCTTAGGCGGTTACAGCGCCAAATAAGAAGAAGAAGAGGTACATCGGTCCAATGCTGAAGTTGCAAGATCATAGAAGAATATTACGCACGCTTGGCAGAGATCTCAGAGAGACCATCGGTAAAACTCATGACATCGAAAGGGATTAGTATTCGATATGGTATTACAGCGCTACTATTCTTGGCCTACGAAAAAGACCTTATTGGGCGCCGCGAAGCAAGCGGGTTTGGCTAGTACTATAATAAAACTGTAGATACTGTACTGAATGGATTTTCATGGGGCTTTAACTGGTATATAGAGAGTGGCCTCGGACGTAACCTAGAATATAAAAAGATTATAGAAGAAGATTCCGCACTCTCGGCAAACTTTGCAATACTCGCTGATATCCCACAGGTGGAAATAAAAGCTCATAGCATCGAAGGAGATTAGTACTTAACCCAAATGTTATTTCAGCGCTATTATTCTTGGCATATGAGTAAGCAAGGTCATACTCTTCAGTCCTTTCAACCTAAATTTTAGTTTTACATTACAAACCGTTTTTGCATAGTAAAATTATTTTTGTATTGGTCAACGCAAAAGTTCTTATAAGGCGTTGCGAAGAAAGCTAGGTGCTTCAGAGATTTGCAGGTTTTTACGGACTGTCGTTCCCGGTCGCCACGTTCCATAAGGTTTAGTAATAGCGAAAAGAGCTTTTCCTTTAAATCCTATTAATCGTGAAGCACCTGGAATGAAACTATATTTACTTTCCAAAATCCAATAATATGGAACAAAGAACCACTAAACTGAACTTCGGCGCGCACATAACACTGTGGGTAATAGCGTAGCCGAGATATTGGTACGGCCAGAGCTGGTACTTTGAAGTGCGGCCGAAGGTCGCTTACTCTAAAAGGAGTTGTGCGTGCAAAAATAGGTTCGTTCGCGTAGCTGTTAATTGTTCATGTTTAACCAAAACTTACAGGTTTTTGCGTTCGCGTACGCAAAAAAACTTGCAAAGTAGGGGAAATTGAGAGAGCAAAGTGACATTTCATTTTGAGGGGAAGCTGTTAGTTTCTGTTGGAAAAATTTTTGCCAACAGCAATTTGCCAACAGGGAAACAGCTGATCAAAAACAGCTGGTTGGCATTTACGCAAATCACAAAATTTAATTTGATGGTTTGGAAGATAAAAATTACAAAATGCGACAAATTAAACTTGTAAGAAATAAGTAGTTATTTGTTTAATCAATAAACTGTGTCAGTATAACACTTTGCGATGACTTTTCGTACGTTTTAAATTTTACACTTTTGTATGTAAACAAAAATTATATCAGCTGTTCGTCTAACTTGCAAGTTTCTGCAAATTTTCTGTTCGCGTACTATTTTGGATATTTCTCTCTTGTGAGCGAACAGATGACATTTCGCCGGAATTTGGCAGTTGGTTGGTTTCTGTTGGATATTTTAAACGAACGCACCTAATATTGCATATGGCTTAACCGAATTTTGAAAACTTAAATCATAATTATTTTAATTATTGGTACTCAAAATAGTTTTTAAGAAAGGTCGCTAGTTTTTATGATGTTAAGGTGCCGCCAGGAGTTAACATTGTAAATAATGTTCGGAATATATTTTCTATAGAAAACTTTTGAAATATTAAAAAAGTAAATTCCCGTTCCCGGATTCGTAATACAGGGACCTTAAAATGCGTATATTTGATACCCCTTCTGAAGAAATAATTTGATGATTACCAATGATTTTCCCAAGTGTCCTGGAGTAAGTAAGTAAGCTGGAAAATTACCGTAACAATGTTAACACAAGGCGAGAGTTTCTTTATTCACATTATGAACATTCGGAATACATTTTTCTGTTCACTAATTGATTAAAACTTTGTTCCCGGATAATATGGGGCCGGATAATCTGAACGCATTCTTTTCATTTCGTCTCTAGTACGGAATTTATAGAATATTACATGAAAATAATGGCGCAAGAGAAACCAAGTAAGTTTTTGCAAAAAAATTTCATTCTCTTCTGTTTCTTTATAACCATTGTGCCTCATGAACTACACGAATATTCTCTTCTAGATCCGGACTGATAAATACAGAAACACACTCACGGTCAATTAATAGGAAAAATGTGATCCACAAATAGTGTGGCCAGATATCAATTTTTACTTGAAGCGGTTGTAGTTTCAATTATGACTGTGTTACTCATTTGTACAATTTTGAATATGACTTTATTTCACTTCTATATTGGAAATAACGTCATATGGTTTTATTTCCAAAACAAAATGGAAATAAGACCATATGGCCTTATTGTGTATGTGCATACATACATACATACATATGTAAGTATGATTGGAAATTTTATGAACAGAAAATACTCACCTAATGAAATAGTTTGCCATTTGGCCGATGTCAACATCAAATAAAGTCCATATACAGCTGCTAAGTGGACATAGACGAATGCAATTATGTTTCGCCAAACCAGTTTAAACCTTCGTTTTTCAGCTTTCTTCAGCTTTTCAATGTCCTTCAATAAGCCTCCATCATAGGTTTCGGCATCTTGCTCGAAGAGTACACCAGTGGTGTTATCAGTCAGAGATTTCGAATCACCACTGGCATTGGCAACCAAGGAGTTGCTTATGGATTGTGTATTTGCTGTAGCGTTTGGCGGCATGTTGTTACCTTTGCTGTAATCGAGATAAAAATATATCATATAGTTTCAGTTTACTGATCATGTTTTTACAACAAAAAAAAAAACGACATTATAAATACCTTAATAAATATCTTAAAATACTGACTGAGAATTTTTGTGGTTGTAAGTTGAAATTTATTTACATACATACATCTTAATGGCTATTTCCCATGGCGAAATTATACCAGGTGATGTAATTAGAGCGAGAAGAAAGATTGCGTTTAAAATTTGACTATTACTATGTTTATGCGTAAGCTATTTGCAAATAAAAATAACTCCCTAACGCACTGTTTATTCGATGGTGAAAAATTCTTTTTTAATATTGTTATAATCAGACAAAAGGCAACAATAGGATCATCGAAAAAAAAAAAAAGTTAAATATGGCAACGTCTTGATTATAAATAGGCAATAAGATGGCCATCGAAAAAGAAAATGAACCTAAGAATGGCGGCGTCTTGCGCTTATTTGCAAATAGTACCACTAATCAATACTTATTTGCGTGATTTAGTAACTTGTAAATAAAAAATTAACTCAACGTTTATACGGCAAAGTTTACCAATTTGTAAATTGTTATTTGCAAATAATACGTGCGTATAAACGTAGTATATAACTGCTATACCTAAATAAAAGCGGCAACGCCACGTCAAATGCACAAATAACAACAACAACAAGCATGGGTTTGTTTGTGTGAAATACGAAAATGACAGTTTCGCCGTTTTCTGCAGCCAACTTCACTTCCTAACGCCCTGTCAAAATCGGATTTTCCAACCGCTCAGCGTTGACGCCGTGTTGTTTTGGTATGCTTTATACAAATTGTATTGGCATGAGAACTTTTTTACAGCCAGACAACGGCTGCCGCTTTTGTTTAGGTATCGCAGTAAGGCAGCCGAATGTCAGAAAATAAATCGAGAAAGCTTTTTTATTACTTCACCTGTTTATTGCGCCATGGCTATTGCCTTTGAATTGTTTCCAAAATGAAGCTCTTCATGATGAAATCAAAATTAATAGAATGAATTTATCGCATGAACGCCCGGACGATTTTGGTCTATGTCTCCGTAGCTTGGTGGCCCAAAACACTGCAAAAACAGCCTTACTTCGTTGGCAGAAACTTTCAGTTGCAATGGGCAGATGGCCCACTGTGTTTTAGGTCGAGATATTAGGGGCAATGAAAGAGATTGTAACTATGCTGGATGCCAAGGATCTGCCAGATTGAGGCGAGAGCTGGCGAGAGAAAAGTTTTCAACCGCCTTTGTGGGTCCGAAACCATATATGTAATACTTCTATATTGGCAGTACGCTAAGTTCTCAATGTGTAAGCATTCCGAAATCAAAATGAGACAGTCTAGTAGTATTTTTGTGTACGTGTTTATTTATGTATATATCTGTACTGTAATGTTTTCGGACGGTACTAGCTTTTACTGCCAATATTGGAGTATTACATACAGATCACGACCCTTTTAGAAGCTCTGTACATTACGATTCATAGTCATGTTTTCGCCTAATCATTAAAGCTTCATGATTAGAAGCCGTCATTTGTTTACTATTTTGTGTTGGAAATTAAAATTATTTACCATTTCAATAGGAAATAATCAGACATTTTAGCAAATTGTATTGAACCATAAGTATTTATGCAATATTTCGCTGTTATGTGTAGAACGATTAGGTGAAAGACCATTTACACTGGCAATATTTAACCGGTAAGGATAAGACACCTCTTATTATAAGAAACAAAATTCATTATACAATATATTGTACTTAATATACCTTGTAAATGAAAAAGGTACAAATGTACCTACAATGCAAGTGCCCATTTAAATTTTAAATCTTTATTTTATTTTAAATGGAAAATTTGTGTGGAAACGTCTTTTTAACAACTTTTTTAAAATCTATTTTTTCTTCTTTTTGTAAATTTTACGGGCTTATACTCACAACACAAATATAAGCACGAACGAACATACATATGTATGTACATGTCTAAACGTAGTGAGAATGCAAGAAAAATCAATAACTCGGTGTCCTTGTGTAGAGATGCTAAAGCGATTGCCCTTGGATGCGATTCCTGTGTGCCATTTTTATGATTTGATGGTCAACGAAAGCCGGCTCTGTGGAACTAGCTCTGACATCTCGATATGTACCCTAGTGTATGTAGGGCAGTGGGTGATTAAAAAGTTGATGCAACATGCGGTTGCTTGCGGCGTAGTAAGAACGTACATACATATTGTACATGAATGTTTTGCACAAAATTTAAAAATTTCACGTACAAGTCTTTGCATCTATCAGTTCCTTTATGAACACTTACTCGGTTTTGACTTAGTGGTTATCACTTTTGTTTACATGAGTCGGCTTTATATTATTATAAATATATCTACATACATATGAAAGTACTGACGAATAAGTTTGGAGCTCTNACACTTACTCGGTTTTGACTTAGTGGTTATCACTTTTGTTTACATGAGTCCGCTTTATATTATTATAAAGGTCCCGATAGAGTCAGTGGAATTCCCGCAGGATATCTACATACATATGAAAGTACTGACGAATAAGTTTGGTGCTCTTTTTTTTGTTAAGATTGCCTACATGATTACCGTTTGTTATTTTAATAAAAATAATTTTATATTTTTTTATTTTTGTTATACCGACATCAGACAACAGAAAATCTTTTTATTTACTTTTAGGTTCTTTATCGAATACTCTATGCACAAGTATTGAATTTTAAATTAAATTAAGGACTTCATGTGTCTGTCGTAAAGAAGGTATCACTGTAACAGGTACTGCATTTACATATATTGCTAGTAATCTCATTGAGGGACTGCTTAAGTTAAGTATGTTTTTGTATAATAAACAATATTTCTTACGCGTCCGACGTTCAAATGACTGCATCGAGTGGTGGAAAAAAACTAATTTGAAATTTGATAGGACTCGTGAGAAGGAATCGTGTTAAGTGCTGCAGAGTAAGTGATGGAGAGTTGATGCGAGAACCATGAAATCAATGTGTCAGTTTGTAAGCATCAGCATTAGGGATGCCAACTCTGTGAGGGCTAATTCTCCAAATTCCCAAAATAATTTCACCCATATGGTTTTTCTTTTATTATGTAGGCACTTCATTCGGAACTGTGGCGAGATGGAACTTGCGGAAATTATTTTTGATTGGCTGGCGAGCTCAAACCAGCAAGGGGCTGGGCATACCTTGATTTAATCATCTATTTTATTATAAATATACTCATAAAATTTAATCTTTAATTTGGTTCCATAATTTGGGCAATGGGTGGTTGGTTTCTTACTATATTTTTCATTTGTAAATTTTCAATATACTTGATTTGTTTGGATGAAGACATTCTTCTATCAATAAAGCGATTATGCATAGGTATTACCTACTCCAAAAATTGATTAAACAAATTTTCCAAATCCAATTTTTCATTAATTAAATTGATATATACAAAACCAAAAATTTAATTAGAAATATACAAATCATAAAGCTTCAGCGCAAGTCTCGCAACGTTTCGGAAACTTTTTTGGTCGTAAAGGAGTCGAGCATTACTTTTTTAATTATGTGATAAAAATTCGGGAAATAATGCCGTAAATGAAAATTTCATATATGATATTGCAATCTTTTGCGGCTTAAATCTCGCATTTTAATCGCATGCGCTAAGATTTGGGAGCATTTAATCGGCCGAGATCTAACAGAAAAGCGGTACTTTATTTATATATAGTAGTTATATTATAATATGTATATTACATATGGACGGTTCTCTGCAATAACGGCAATTCTAAAATCAAAAAATAAAATCCCTTGGCTCATGTCTCGAATCCTTGTCTAATCATTACTAAAGTACTAAAAGATTACTACTGTAAGTAGTAAAAATTATACATGGATTAACAGTAGTACAGAGTTTTAATTATTATTATTTTTTGAATTGTGTCGTAATTACATATAAAAAATTCGGCAAACGTAATTTACACTGAACCCATCGTAGTTCGCCGCGTATATTTTAAATACACCCGTCCGTAGCATTTTAGTAGATTTCACAAAAATTCGGACTACGATGGATTCTGCGATAGCCCCCATTATTTCGCCATCATATACCTTGGCTTTTTGTTTTGGCACTGTTGAAATCTAAGTAATATTAAGCGTGTTTCATTTGACCAGTAATTTAAGCTATTAGGTTATTTTGTTGGAAGACTTAGCCAACATAATTAGATTAGCTTATGAAAAGCAATCTTGACTTGTATTTTGAACAAAAGGCATTGCCATTCAGTACCAGAAAGCTTCCTGCTTCAGCCACTTAGAAAGATTTGTGCTTTTCTTTTTTCCGAAATCTTTCTGTTATCCTTTCAGTGTCAATCAGCGTTGCCGTTTCAAAATTTCCCAGCGGAGTGAAATGAGCTAAAAAGTGGAGCGTTTTTGGGTTTTCCGTAGTGTCAAAGTAAAAACGTTGGCTAAAGTATGTAAAACTTATTTGTGTTATAAACATACACTTGCCTGCATACAATTATCTGCTCAAACCTATTCTTTTTTAAATATTAACAATGTTTTGCAAGCTAAAATTTGTTGTTATTTTTTACAAAAATATGGTTCATGCTATAAAAAAAAAACTATATACAATGTGTCCAGTATATGCTCATACAAAACTTGCCAATAAAACATATTAAAATCAACTTAAGTAGTAAACTGGATATATTTTTTATTTAAATAGCGTATGAAAATATTACTTAAGCGATGACATAGTAAATATGTGTTATATGGATGGGTAAGATCTCCTTATATCGTCATAATAGACATAGTACGTTCTAAAATTGGTAAAAGGAATTATTTATTCCCAAGGACGAATGTCCTCCGAGCTCACCTGTCTGTAATCCCATGGACTTTTGTATTTGGGGTTATATACTACAGAAACTTACGGATTACAAATACAGAAACTTTATGGATTTTAAAGCTGCCATCCTCGACTTACAGGACAATACACCGATGGTGCGTGCCGCATGCAACAGTTTTTAAAAGAGACTTTAGTAGAGTAACTGCCTTTTAAACCAAATCTTTATGCTTTAAGTTATAATTGGTAACAGTTTAAACATATCTAAATACAGCTTTGATTAATAAAAACTACTTTGTTTTTGTATGAACATATAATGTAGACACTGTAAATAATAGTTTCAAGCTTTAAATATACAAAATTAAGCAAAGTTCAAGGAATTTTAATAAAAAATTTTAACTTTAATCAGGATTTTAAATTTCTTGTATGCTGTTTCTTGCCCATTCAATTTAGGTATAATGATTTTGATAGTGGCTAAGGATTCGCGTTGTTTTTAATACATATGTACACATTTTTCTCCATACAAAGTATGAATATTTTTTTTTATATAGAAGAAGATTTATTTTCTCTTTCGATGATCATATTATTTCCTTTTTATAATCACTCAACATTGAATAAGAATTTTGCACCANTATGCTGTTTCTTGCCCATTCAATTTAGGTATAATGATTTTGATAGTGGCAAAGGATTCGCGTTGTTTTTAATACATATCTACACATTTTTCTCCATACAAAGTATGAATATTTTTTTTTTTTTATATAGAAGAAGATTTATTTTCTCTTTCGATGATAATATTATTTCCTTTTTATAATCACTCAACATTGAATAAGAATTTTTCACCGCTGTGTCAATTTGCAATTTTTTTTTACGTACATATACAACTCTACGTTCATGTCGTCTATGGTCATTCATTCTCAAAATAGGAGTGTTGTTGCGAGAGGGAGTGACGTATTGTTCAGCTTCAAAAAGAAGTGAAACACCCCGATNCACCGCTGTGTCAATTTGCAATTTTTTTTTTACGTACATATACAACTCTACGTTCATGTCGTCTATGGTCATTCATTCTCAAAATAGGAGCGTTGTTGCGAGAGGGAGTGACGTATTGTTCAGCTTCAAAAAGAAGTGAAACACCCCGAACGGAATGAAAACGGCAACGCTGGTGTTAATTTTAATATCTAAGTTTATGTGTAAAAGTGCTACACCTGTCAGCGTGGTACTACGCAGCCATGGTTTTAACCGACCAAGGGTTGAAGAAATTCTTTCTGAAGTAGCATTACTGCGACTAATGAGTCAGATTGCTAAAAAGTGGGCTCTAAAAAAAGTAAATATTAAAATGAATTGCGGGGAATTTTTTGAATTTTTAAAAAGAAAAATCGAACAAAAATCCAACAAATATTACAAAAATTTTCTTTTTGATGTAGAAATGCATCTAGATTAAGTTAAATTTCAACAACAAAAAAAACAGGAATTTTCCCCAGATGGCATCTCTGGCTCGCCATTCCTAAAGCTAACTAGATACATACATACATATATATCCTTGTACATACTCGCGAGAGTTAAATGTTGGTGCATGCATGTATATACGTTTGCAGCTTAAGGTCAAGGCCTTTCAACTTGAAAGCAGAACGAGTGCTAAGGTTTATTATACGTTTTTTACGTTATAGTTGCGTTTGAGGTAAAAATGGATAATCTCTGCAATCTGAATTCTTAAAAAATACAGTGGAAGAAAAAAAATAGGTACGCGACATTTAACAAATTTTGGCTTTTTTCCGTTTGTTTATTCATTATTTATAAAAGTCCATTTCACTAAATAACACAAACTATACATTTCTAATTTGCGTACAAAGCAAGTACAAGTGGGTTAATACTGCGTTTGTTATATAATGAGCCAGACTTCTATAAAAAAATTAATAAATCTTAAAAATATCGAGACGGTTTTTATAAAATTATACAACAAAAATGAACGTTGCCTACAAATGTTTGATGTAGAAAATCTAAGAATTCAATTTTTTGATGAAATCCTATTTTTAACTGGGATAGAATCGCATAGCTGTGTGCGTACTTGCCATTTCGAAGTAATAATTTTCGTTCCGATGGAATCGGCACAACTGTGCTGATGTTCGGTTTACAAAAGAATATATTTTCTGAGTTTTAAGAGAGTTTTAATATCACTGTAGTAGGGCTGGGAGCTTCATCCGGATTTTTCTACTATCCGGATAAACCGAATATTCGAATATCCAGATACCTAAATGAAAAATCCGGTTACTCTGGAAGCTAAGATAATATGCGGCTATCCGAATATCCAGATTTTTCGTTATCAAAACGATACTTTCATTTCCCAATACCTGGCGCTCATAAATGTGTAGTAACAAGTTTTCTATTTCTGCGCACAAAATTGTTTGTATAAATTTTAAAATTTCCAAAATTCTACTTTGTAATTTCAAAGGCTTCTACAAACGAATTAAAAAGTTCAACAAACAATATGTATATGCGTATAGAAAACTTGCTACTTCATATGCATGAGCGCCTGGTATTGGGAAATTAAAGTATCGTTTCGTAAAAATAAAAAAATTAAATAAAATTGACCGCGAGAGTTTTTTCATGGCTTTAAAATATCATGGACGGAATAATGAAAGCTATTACGATACTTTTGGTCGTGGTGAATTTTTTACCAAGTTGTAGCATTTCTAAAATTGATGACAGGAATGGTGCCATTTGTTTATATTGTGACAAAACGATACAAAACAAAAGGTCAACTTCAAGTCCGTCAAGACCTAATTCACTCTATCGTGTGCATAATTGAATTCACGAATATTATTAATCAGTTTGTTGGTTTTTTTTTTATATCTGAATATACGAATATTAACCGGATCTTCGTAAAGCCGGATATCCGAATACTTGCACAAGCGAATATTAACCGGATATCCATACTATCCGGATTTTATTCGTGTCAACGGATATTCCGCATGGATATCCGGATATTCGAATGTGCGGATAGTCCAGCCCTACACTGTAGTTGCAAAGGGGTTTCTAAAAATTATATAAAATTTAATTTGTACGGAGCTGTAAGCGACAAACTTTGTGAATAGTTGTCGATAAAATCGAAATTACTTGTAGTTTTTAAATGGAAGTTGTCGATGCTAG